TGTGTAAAATATTAAAAATAAGCAGCTCAAACATGTAGGTTATTCATTAGAAACATGTAGGTTATTCATTAGAAACATGTAGATTATTCTCGCACAAAGCCACCTTATATACTGATTGTTAAATTTGTGGAATGCCGTTTGTAATAGCGAACGTTAGGAACGTCTAAAGTCAAAAGTGAAAGAATATAAATATATAAATATTTATATATATGTGTGCAACGGAGCCAGTATGTACGTTGTCCTTAACAGACAACGGGAAAATATTGGCAAAATAAATCATATTAATAACTATTAAAGTCAAAGAATTACCAAAATTTAAACCCTTGAACGATATAAAGCAAGTGACTAACACTATATATTTTACAAATATTAATACTGTAACTGAACATGTCATGCCGTCAACTCAAGTCATGCCGCGATGGCAGGTCTTCTCCAGCGCAGAAAATCGTTTTATAGCGAAACAAACTAAGTTAATCTCAAATATATAAACCCACACCAAGTAAAGCATTTTAGTACGTTCGTATTATTTCTGCATTTTGTTTACATCATGTTCTCTGAGATTTATAAACAGGTTTTTTTGTCTAGCCAATCGCATCACTTCATGTGACTGCTAATTATAACTAACCAATCATGTGCTTGGTACAAATTTTGTACCAAAAGAAGAGAGATTTGTATCGCGTGCCACCAGAGGTTCTCTTCGCCTCGCGTAAAATAAATATACGAGCGGGAATAAGGCGAAAGATACAGAACCTCTGGCAACCAGGGTATGGGAGCATTTGTTTCGGAACAAACTCCTCCCCCCAAATCGTCTGCTGTCAGGTAGCGGTGCCAAACTTGACACATCGGTGGGACACCGCAATTTTGCAACAGGGGACAGATCACAATTAACTCTTCAATTGGCCATATGACTGTAGTACCAATGTACCATCACTGTGATCGATGACAAGTGTATCACTATAGCACAGAATAGGAAGTTATACCAGAAGCGTAACTCTAGTCGTTTCCCTTATTGTTTGACGTCCACGAAAATTTTAACTCGCTCACGTCAGGCCACGCCATCCTGGCTAGTACAGCCGGAAGTTTTTATCAGGATTTGGTAGGTACAAAGTGCCGGTTGTACTAGCCAGGATGGCGTGATTGATGACGAATCGCTTGTAAAAACGCGGACAAATATTTGCTCGAGTTACGCTTCTGGTATAACTTCCTATTCTGTGACTATAGGCAGCCCATTAGCTTTTGACCGCTTGCGCTGAGAGACGGACTTGACCCAAGTCTACCCATTAGCCCCAGCGAGTCAACGCTCTTTCGAGCGTCTTGTTTGATTTTTGTTTGTTACTTAATGACTGACGCAATGATGAGCTTTGTTTACTTGGTTTCAGTTGGAGTTGTTCTCGGATGATTTGCTGTTTTGACTTTACAAACATTCCAACAACTCTATGTAATAACAACACACAATCCGACTTGAACTTAAAATTATCTTCATTACCCAAAACTTTGAACCACATTTCACGTAGTTGAATATCTTCATTCAATACTTTTAAACAATTCTTCAAAATTTCTTTGTCAACATGTGTTTCTAGCTGATTCTTGACAATATTTTCAACAGTATTATGAAGGTACAGAAAAACTTCAACAACTTCAGGTATTGCATTAAACAAAAATTTGCCAGGTCGACTCAAAACATCATGCCCCAAACGTTCAATTAATGAAAGTAAATAGTACTTATCCACTTCTACATCAGTATTATCGGTTTTTGATACCGGAATTTTGTACATTTGAGGTCCACCATTGAACTCTTCTCTGACCCGCTTAAAAACCCAACCAGCATGCTCTCTCACCGACTGAACCTCAATATCTTCAGGTTCAGTGGAGCTGGCATTTATAGGGACAGAATTGGAATTTTCACCTTGTTCACTCAGTTCATGCGATCCATGTAAAACTAACGAACTCCAAAAGTGTTGTAGAACGTGGTTTAAAAGAATATTTGTCCCATCAGATGTTTGCAAACCACACGTACGTACTAAGCAAGACCACTTTAAATTTAAAACTGGATTATCAAAAAGGTCCAAAAAACTTTTCTCCAGCTTCATCATCTTTTGATTCGCGCATTTTATTTGTTTAACGTTTTGATAACACACCAAAAAACTTGTTGACATCTGCTTCAAAAAGTCAGTTCCAACTTTAATATTTTCTTCGCACTTCGATGACATTATCCTGGCGGCATTTGACTCGATTGTCTCACTCTCTGGAACACCAACAGTCTTCAGAACTTGAAGAAATAAAGTTTGACCGTTTTTCAAAAAAATCCAGTCAAAATGTGCTGGAATATCTAAGCTTGGTTCAGTAGAAATGACGTCTTCTTCGTCCAAAAACAAATTCCCGCCTAACTCGTCCGCCATTTTGAATTTGAGACAAAAACCTACGGGGGGGGGTCCGCGCATCACACATAGATCAGGGGCGTCGTTGCCGTTTCCGCGCCCGTGTTTTATAGCGCCCTGATATGAACCAGGCTTAAAGCACGCGTAGGAGTGTTTTATCACATATAAAACACGACGCGTAGCGGAGTGTTTTATATGTGATAAAACACGACTACAAGTGCTTTAAATGGTTTCAAAAACGACTCATCTTATACGAGTTCATTGGCGAAGTAATTTTTAAAATAAACTTTGTCTAAACCGAGAAAATCAAAGCTAGAGTTTATGTAAATTAACATGATTTTCAATCACATATAAAACCACGACACGCTTATGATTTTTCTTTGTATGATTTTTCTTTGATTTTTCTATGATTATTAATGAGTTTTTGAAAGAGATTTCAAAACTCATTAATAATTCATGAAGCAATTATCCAATCTTGAGTAAGAAATTAGTCACGTGCATACGTCTTTATACCAGCTAAAGAACACTTTAACAAAAGACCATTGTTATGCAAACTATATAAAGATTTTTATATAAAAATTTTTATATAAAGATTTGACTTATTATGCATACGTTTTTGAAGTCATTTAAAAAACTCGCGGGTCGTGTTTTATTAGGTCTAAAGCCACTCGCGCTGCGCGCTCGTGGCTTTAAACCTAATAAAACACTCCCGCTCGTTTTTTAAATAGTACGTAAAGCACTATACTTTATATAATAAATATTTATATAATAGTGTATTACTATTAGGCACATGAACTTTCGTGATACTTTCAAACTGCATGCACCATTGTTGGGTTTGATAAACAGTCATAAACTGAGCTTGCAAACTGGTCTGAGCTGCCAACAATTAGCAAATTAATGTAACTTGCAGTTATGGGGGTTGTTATGGATGTTTACAAATATGTCAAGCTGCTGACTGCCATAGGATCTCCCAAGCTGTAGAAGCAATGGTAAGCTAAAAAGTTTGTCAAATGGCCAAGGATAAGGAAATATTTTGGAGCCTTGTCGTGCTATTTTTCATATGCATGACCAAGAAAAAGAAGAAAAAGAGCTTGAAGAGAATATGGATCAAGGGATTTAATGCTATCAAGCATTTCATTATCTTTCTATAAATAAAATTAGCAACATGGTCTATATTTTTCAAATCTACATGGTCTATATTGATAAAAAATTATGCATTTCCTGAAGGAAGTTGCTATAAGTTGCTGATATCATAAAAAGTTGCCCCAAATGCAAAAAGTTGCCAAAAGTTGCCGAGCATAATCCAGTGTAGAAGCCTATCCCCACTGCCGATAGTAATCCGTTAAGTTTTATTTGTTTCGGACAAATGGTTGGACAAATTCTTTTATCTTTTTTACTTCTTATCTTTTTTTGGTGCTAACTTTTTAACTTTTTAAATTTTTTAAACTTTTTTAAAAATCTAACTTTTTAACCTTTTTTTGCTTTTTAAAACTTTTTTAAAACTTTTTTAAGGACTATTTTTTTGAAAATCTTGAAAATCTGTGAAATTTAGTGCCATTACATTTCGTATAGCAAGAAGTCTTGTCTAACGCTTGTGGTTTTATGATTAACTATATTGATAAATTAGTGTCCACCTCACTGGAAAAGGGGGGGGGGGGGAACACTTAGCGGCCGCCGGAAAATTTTAAAACTAGAGTCTCCGAATGCCATTTCCTGCACTTTAGAAGGTGATTTACAGAGTTCTATTAATTAATAAAGGTAACGAAATGTCATAAAATATCTCAAATTATTTTGTCCACTAATAATATCAATTAACTGATTGGTGGTTTATTATTGACCATTGTTAAAAAGCGAGGGGGGGGGGAGGGGGCAAAGACATTTAGGGCCCCCTCACAACTAAAAAAGTGAGGGAGGAGGCCGCCCCCCCCCTTCTCCCGCTTCCGACGCCCCTGCCCTTAACTTATTTTACAAGAATTTATATATGTTTACATGATGATGATGATGACACAATTTAATCTAAACGTCGATTCAATAAATCGAAATGTATTCGGAGTTACTGTTCTTTTGTATTTTTGTATTATATATTTACGGTTCTTTTGTATTTTTGTATTATATAATAACTGATCCGACCGACAGAAAGGAAGAACATCCAGGGTTTGCGTTCGGATAGTTGTTGTCTGCTTCAGTAAGTTAGAATCTCTCAATGAGCACCGACCCTGAATAACCCTTAGAAATAGAAGTGTTTACGTCACGTAATTTTCAATCATCCCATGCTCTAGACCACTTCGTCGTGCATTGCAAACTAAGACTGAAGAAACCACCATCGCTTCAAGCCAAAATTCAATATCGGAAACTGCGCTCAATCAATTTTAACAGTTTCAATATATTAAATGAAATATTGGACAATTATGCACCAGTCAAAGAACGTATGATCACACTTCGCCCATCAGCCAGGTGGTACAACGATGATATAGACACTGCCAAAAAACAACGCAGAAATAGACAGAAAGCTTGAGCGCCGCTGGCGTGCATCTCAGTAGACTCAATATCGACAGACAGCAACATCGGATTGAAGATGCTAAAACCTCATACTGAAAACTCATCCAATCAGAAAGTCCTTTCTAAAACTGTTGATAAGCTGTTGTACCGAAAACCAGAAAAACGCTATTCTACAGAAACCACGACTACTACTCAACTTGTTAATAACTTTGTTAATTTCGTCCATGAGAAAATTACTACAATACGGGAAGAATTATCAGACGATGTCTGTCATGCCAACAACTCTGGTCAGATGAACGACCTTGCAACATCGAGCTCAGGCAATTTGAAATCATGAATGATATGACGGTTGGACATCTTTTCAATCAAATCAAATCAAGTGAACTCGACATTTTACCAGCTCCACATGCAGTACTGAAACGGCACTTCTCAAAGTACAGAACGACATACGCCCGTATATTCTAAAAGCTCACTCACACTCACACTCAATGAGTGAAGGTTCAATCTGAGCTTTTCTTGAGTGTCAATGCTGTTTTTAAATAGCTGGAGGGTGAGTAGGCACACAGCGAGGTACGACACTAACCCTCCAGCTATTCAAAAACAGCATTGACACTCAAAAGAAGCTCAGACTGAACCTCCACTCATTGAGTGTGAGTGTGAGTGAGCTTTTAGAATACGGGCGATACTCATCCAAATAGATAAGAAGAACTATGTAGCACTGTTATTGCTGGATATATCCGCTGTATTTGATACATTGGATCATATGTTGCTCATTGCAAGACTTTCAAATCGTTTTGGGATTAAAGGTCAAGCTCTGAAATGATTTGAATCCTATCTTCATGACCGGAAGCAGTTTGTGATTATCGATAATGTTAATTTTAACAACAAACCGCTACAATGTGGAATATCTCAAGGATCTGCGTCTGGCCCTATCTTATAAAAAAGGAAGGTCCCGACAAGTCTGCCATCTTTAGAACCTCCTCAAGGGAGACCCCACCAGCTCTTGCTTTAGAAGTTGAAGCTGCCCTCGTAGAATGCCCTTTAAAAATAAAAGTGTTAATACCTGCACTGCCCAAAATGGAGGCCAACAGGTGGGAAAATTGACTGAGCATGCGCGAAACTGCTCGGGGTTTCAGCGTGAAGAAGAAGATATGCGTGCTTCCACTTGGTCGATTTAACAAACATAATTACATAAACAACATGAACGAGGCCTTCGAAAGACAATTTTGCAGCGGCTGTTTTGGGTCACCAATCACCACAAAATTGGATTAACTGACAAAAGATGTTGCAGTAATATATACTTTGATTTTTCTATTGCCACAATGTTTTACAATATAAACTATTAATATCGATTATTTCAGTGCAAAACAAAACAAAGTAAAAAATTTCCTTTTAAAATTTTTAAAATGTTGTCCGATAGCTTCAATAAAATCACATTTTTTCGTGAAATTCGAACCAATAATACACTTTTAACAAAGCAAAGAAATTTAACACCGACTAAAATTAAACATGGTTTGAAATTTAATGTAAAACAGCGACATTTTGTTGGCACAACCTTTAAGGGAAGCCTCACATATCGATTATGTTCGTTTGGGGGTGGGGTTTGCAGCTGTGACGTTTCTCTGTAAAACATCATGGGAAAATTCGATATTTTTTTTGAAAGCCTTAACATTTCGGAATCATCTTTGCAGAATATCCAAAAAAGTAAACAGACGGTCTATGCATTCGTAAACACCAGTCTATGCATTCGTAATAGGCTACCATACCTGTTCTATACATTTATATTAAATACGCCTTCAAATTTCAAGAAAAACGCACTAAAATTGTTAATATTTCATGCAAAAAAAGTTGTTTTAAGAAACGTTGGAATTTTTTAAGTTCATATTATATTAATAAAAGGTATAAAAAACATATGTCAGCAGAAGAAGACATATTCCTCGCGGAAGCATCGCCGACCATAGAAAATAGTAGAAAATTACCTTATGTTTACTATAAGAAACAAAATATCGATAATTATGTGTGATGTTTCTAAGTCGGGGAGGGGGTCTCCAGAGAAACGTCCATATGACGCTTCTCATGGACAATATCGATATGTGAGGCTTCTCTAACATGACAAAACTCGTGTTTCTAAAATTTTAAAAATAATACAAAGTTTACGCTTCGAAATGAGGGTCATAGAAAAATCTGATTGCTATGTTTATCTGTTTTTTAAATACTTTGACAACTGCCTAAAAATATTATTAAAACTATCAAGGGACCGGTCATAAAGTATTTACTAGGGGGTGTGGACATAGGCGTACCGGGCGGGGGGGCGGGGGGGGCGGCCGCCCCCCCAGTTTTTTGGGCAGTCGGGCAATATTCGATCAACAGTCGGGCAATTTTGGTTTGCAATAAAAAAAAAATGGGACAAATTCAGTCAATTTTGTCTAAAATTAGGTCAATTTTTTGGGAAATTATGTGTTTTTTCGAAAATTTGTGTTATGTTCCGAAAAATTTTGGTTGTCCGGAAAATTTTTTTGACCCCTAAAATGGTACACTGACCGAAATTTTTTTGGCGACGGGGGGGGGGGAAGTCGCCAAAATAAATTTTCCGGAAAAAATTTTTTGGTACTAGTCGGGCAGAATCCCGAAAAGTCGGGCAATTTTCTTTCCGCCCCCCTAATTTTTTCCTTCCGGTACGCCCATGGGTGTGGAGGATATTTTGGGGGGTACGAAAAAAAGAGAACCTCTGAGGGTGGTACGAAAAAAACAACAGAATCTCTATGGGGGGTACCATGCAAAATCTTAGTACTATAGGTATGGAAAAAATTACATTTTATAACTATTGTTGAATATTGAATGTATTTGTGCTCAGTTTGGAAGTTTGGAAAGAATTGCTTTACTATAATTATTAAATCAACACAAGTATATGTTTTAGTCTGACTCAATGTCAGATGATAAGTAGGATTCAGTATCCGTTGAACTTTTGGAGTACAAATCTGATACACCTGAATTGTCAATGCTAGCAAGCTCACACCGGCATTAGAACTTGATGAACCTGATGAGGAAGTGTCACATTGAATGGAAGCAATTTTTTTCTATTTGAAATAAAACAAAAACAAATTTTTCTGTTTGATCTTACTCTCAGCCCATCTCTAGTATGTCAGAATCAGAAAAAACTGGTGACGAATCGGAGACTGCGGAAAATGTTGAGGATATGGTTACCACTACAAGAAGTGGGGGAGTTATCACAAACTGGAGAGTTTCAAAACAAATGTTAAAACGGAATTAATGATAGAAGGGGGGGAGGGGGGGGTATGGAAATTTTCACTTACATTGAAGGGGGTTACGAAAATTTTTCCATAGGTTTTTGGGAGGGTATGGAAATATGTACTTGAAATTTCATTTATCCTCCACAGAGGGGGTAGTAATTACTATATGACCGGTCCCCAATATTATAGCAAAATACAGGGCAAAATATTTATCTGATGCTCATTTTCTGAGTCGCCTTTTTCGTACAAATTACACTGATATGCATAAAAGTTGCCAAAATTCAGTATTTTCTTCATTTTTTAGACGAGTTTTCGTTCTATTAGCAAAAACTAGAAAGAAAAGCACATCTTCTGACCTAATAACATTTTGTTGGCACAAGCTGTATATATATGAGAAAATTAAGGTGAAAAACAAGCAATCTTAGCAAAATACCTCACAGGCTGAAGTTTGACGATGATCTTTTGGGCACAGTATCACTCAAAAACCAAATAATACTTTGTTCTGGACAACAAACGCATGTAATGCAAATTTCAAGTATAATATTCCATGGCCATCAATATTATGCACCTATCAATGTTTTCCCCCTGAGGGGGGGGGGGGGGGGCAACCCAGGGGAATTTTGACATTTTTAAAATTTTGTCGTCAAAATCCCCACTGTTGGGCAAGGAATGGCTGTCAAAATTCCCCACTATATTCCTAAGGGGTCATTCCATTTATTATCCGCACCCCCCCTATGGATGAGCTCTGGTAAAAATGTTACCTGTAGGAATCGGATTTCAGAGAAGTACCCTGTTGGAATCAACAGTATCAATCTAAACCCTAGGAATGCTGCTAATTGCCAATATCTCACTGGTAGGAATCTGCTAATTGCCAATATCTCACCGGTAGGAATCTGCTAATTCTCAATGTCAGACCGGGGGGGGGGGTGAGGATAATAAATGGAATGATTATGATTCTCATAATAAATATTTGGCAATATAGTATGCTACACCTCAACGGCAATATCTGACCGGTAGGAATCGGGCCGAAGGAATCTGCTAATTCCCAATATCTGACCAGTAGGAATCCCCTAAGTCCTAATATCTGACCGGTAGGAATCCGCTCATCCATAGGGGGGGTGCGGATAATAAATGGAATGACCCAAGATAACAAGGCACACATATGTTTTCCAATGCGAACATACAATCTATACTGGTTTAAACTTGGTAAAAATTGAGACACTGTGTATAAAAGGCTATAAAATACCTTTTTCGATGAAACTTGATCGTGCTTCTCCGCCATACTTGTTGCCAGGCCTTTTAATGTCAAAACCGCGCAAACTTTCAAGATGGCGGATGTCAAAATTTCCCCACTCTGGGAGTTGATGCATAGGTCAAATTCCCCTCCCTGGTGCTTCATAGTGTGGTCAAAGTCCCCTGGGTTGCCCGCACCCCCCCCTCAGGGGGAAAACAATGATAGGTGCATTACGTTCCTGCTCGAGATTATTTGCCATAAAAAACACACGTTTTGCAAGAAACTTAATTTTCAGCCATGTTTCAGCGAATAATTCTTGTGACTGCTAATTTCCCGATTGCGACAAGTAATTGTGGTCTTCATTGACGTTTACGTCTGCTATCTTGTTTTTATTTTACCTCTACTGCAGTACGAGAGATAGGCTAGCAAAATCTGTGTTTTTGTTGTTTTCACAATTTTTGCTGGCAAAAAGAAAGCGTCCGCAATAATTTTGGTCAGCGACGACAGTTTTCTCACCTAGCTGTCGTGGTATGTGGTACCATGTAAGTACTTGCCTAAAAATTTAGTCAATCTACGGCAGGGCCGAAGCGAAGGGGGGTATTGGGGGGGGGGGGTGGTTAACCCCCCCAACTTTTTTAGAACTAAAATATTCGGAAAATCAGGTTGGTCATTCGGAAAATTACGGCAGTAATAGTATCACAAAATTTTCGTTGTTTAATTAAACAGAGAAAATATTATAAAATTGTATTGTCAGTATGACAGTATCAGGGCATTTTTTAACTATATAACTGGGGGGGGGGGCAAAGCCCCCCCAGCCCCCATGGTGGCCCCCCCACTCAACCATTTTGGCCCCCCCAGTCAAAGTCCCTTTTCTCTAAAATATAAGCAAAACATGAAATTTAGAAGGGAGGTTTGATATTCTAGTAACTGAAATTTGCTTTGTGAATCTTATGTCCTGTCTTTTATGTTTAATAAATACCTTATTAGATTTTAAACATTTCCCAGGCAGTGGATTGCATTTCCCAGACCCTATAGATTTGAGTTGTTGGACAAGTTAGTGACCGCAGGGGACAACAGGCCCTCAACTAAGTGTTTTATAAGGGGGGGGGGGATAATTTTGACCCCCCACCAAAAAAAACAATTTGATTTCGAAACTAGAAGTATTTGAAATCATATATACATATAATCAAATATCTGTAATCGATATTTTGATAACATTTCTCGTAATAATCCATCCTGACTCGTGGATATCATAGACTCACAAATCATAATGAACGAATTAATGAAAGGGCCTAACAAAAGACGTATAGAAGACTTTGAAAATGCCATTTCCGACGATTTAGAGACGCAAAATTTTCAAAATTTTTCCGCTCTGTGCTAACCATGGTGGCGTTTCGTGGGAGTCGGGAACTCTAAGTTTATCAAGCTGGCTCCCTAAGTGACGGCCAAGTTGTGGTATCTACATAAACATACTATGCAAGTACTTAACTGAAGGTTCAGTCTATATCTACAGCATAATGTAATGCTGTATATCCAAAAATCTGTTTTAGAAAATGCAGGGAATTGCAGTCATAGGGGTAGAAAAATACAAACATTTTCTGGGAGAGAAAACCCCAGACCTCTCCAGGGCCGTAGCAACCGCGGGGGGGGGGGAGGGCTGGGGGGCTGCAGCCCCCCAATAATTTGCTAATAATCATTCATTTTTCAAAATTATGCAGACCTTTATCATTTAATCCATGACAAACTTCAAAGAATGAAGATATTACCCATACTTTCCTGCAACTTATCCAAAATATCGTTAATTAAATACACTTGCGCCCATTTAGTACTACTGAACTCTAAATTTCCACATACTAAAAACGCTGTTTTTTGACAATCAGAAATCTGTCAAATCTTCCCCAAAGTCCAGGAAATGGCATTTCAGAGACTCTAAATTTAAAAATTTCCTCGGGCCTTCGGCCCTCGCTTTCAGCGCCCCCAAACGAAAGAAGCTTCCTACGGCCCTGCTCTCCCACCCCCCACACTACTATTAAATGCGATACCACACCAAACGTTTTGTTACCAACAAACCATCTATCATTGCTCCACACTCTGTATAGTATGGTCCCTTTTTGTAGATGCCCCCCCCACTGACGAATTCTTAAAAAATGCCCTGGACAGTATCATAAACTGATTTACAAAATCACGGCATTTACATGGATAACATTTAACAAATCGTAGATCGGTAAATGTTTTTCGGTTTATTACTTCCCAGGGCCGTAGCAACGGGAAAGGAAACCCAATATATCTTTAAAATACTGACAAATGATTAATTTTAAGCGGCTACATTACCCATGACAAACCGCGAAGAATCATATTACCCATATACGCCTTCGCCCATTTAGTTCTTCTAAATTGTAAGCAAATTAATTGTAAATTTCGACGTGCTAAAACTCTGTTTTCTGACATCAGAATTCTTTCAAAACTTCCCCCAAAGTCCACGAACGGGCATTTCAGAGACTCTAAATTTAAAAATTTCCTCGGGCCTTCGGCCCTCGCCACCCCCTATCAAAAAGAACTTTCTACGGAAAGCACGCTTCTGTAACATGCCAGTGCGTAAAATATGAGTATTTTTGTTTGAAAATTGCGTTTTCATTAGCTTAGCTACGGCCCTGATCTACGGTATAATATAACACTCTGTTTCAGAAAACGCACGAAATGCAATGGAAAATGTTCTGACCCCCATACTATTACATACGAGACCACGCCAAATTTTTGTCACTAGCAACCGTCTGTCATCTCTCCATACTCAGTATAGTATGGTCCCCTTTCTGTAGAGGACTCCCCCACAGACGAATTCTTAAGAAAGGCCCTGTGCCGGCCTTTCCTATTGTCAAAATATTGAGAATGCAACATTAAAATAATTATAACTACACATTCTATTAGCAACATTTCCGAGTGACTGCAGACTGTGTATGAATACATGCACTACATTATATGTGATCCAGAGCCTTATTTTGTAGAATTCCGAAGATTATAATTAGTAAATCAAAGACATTTTTTATGATCTCACAAACGTAACTTTTCCCAGGCATTTCTCAGAGATTAAATGAATTGGAAAAGTCACCTTGGAATACTAGAGGAGGGTCCGTGTCACCTTATTTCCCCCCAAAGATGCTGGGTAGAGAAAATTCCAATATGATTTTGATCGGAAACTTGCATTTAGATAACTGTAGGTTCTGTAGGATAACTGTAGGATAACTGTAAGTCGCAGTAAAACTGAGGCCCAGGTGTGGAACGGAGGAATTATTACAAAGGAATAAAGTAAAGAAATTGAGCGTCCAGAAACGAAGATAATTTATGAGGGGAACGACTACCATGAAGCTTTACAATACAAACTTTTATTATATAGTAGAGTCAGAGTGAGATACTGAAAAATACACAGTGATATATTTTCCATATATCTTCACTAGTGAAGATATCGATCACGTGACTTTTAGTATTTATACAATTTTTTGCTTGGGACTATATAATAAACAGAACATTACACGGTGGCTTGAAGATATGACTTTTATCTTCTCGTGTTAAAAACAATACTTTACTCACTCGCTGCGCTCGTTCGTAAAATATTGTTTTCACCACTCGACGATAAAAAGTCATATCTT